GCCAAACCATATCAACAGCCTTATGAGACACCTTAACAAGAGAATTCAACTAAGTCATGCCCAGACACCCAACCCACAGAAGCTAAGGGATAATAAACATATGTTGTTTGAGGCAATTTGTTGTGCAGCAGTAGAAAACTAATAAAAATAGGTTAAATAATTTGCCTCGGGTTGCATAACCAGTGTGTGATGATTATAAAAACATCAAACAAGTCTGTGTCCATTGCCAATTTTTTTTTAATTATCAGAAACTTCAAGATTGGGAGGGTGAGATAAGGAAAACTTATGTTGAATAACTTCAGCATAATAATTACATTAAGAGTTGGATGGGACATATGGTTCTGGTACAGCTTTAGGGTTATATTATAAACCATATGCAAAGCCATGAGCATCAATAAAATCACTCAGAGTAGCAAAAGCTGTGGAAAAGATGGAAGATAAAGATTTAAGGGGTAAAAAGGAGTAGAATTAGAGGAGAATGAGGGGGAATACTCACACAGTGTGAAGTGGAAAACTGTAAAAATAGTGTATTGGAATCCAAAGGAAGATGGATTTTCTAAATATAGGTCAAAGTCAGGATTCAATGCCACAGAAGTAGCAAATAGGATAGGGTTGCAAGAGTCATATTATATTTTAACTATTAGTAAACACTTGGTAAAACAACTTGGCTGAAGGCATATGGCTTGACAAGCTGGTCCTAGAAATCATCACAGATCTTCAATCCACATACTAAAATGAATAGGGTATAGAACGATGCCATGTGCATTACTATGGCACTTCATATGGATTAACACAAACCAATTCATTTCAATGTAGTTCACAAACATTTACTTACTGATCATCTGTAAATCAAATAGACTATCAGACTACAGTTATGCAGGTTCACTTAACTCACACCTCATTCCCCTCACATTTCTCCAGCTTAGTGACAACAATACGGAGGCACTTTATCAAATTATTTGCTGAACTCGAGGTATGTGTACATATTTCCCCTGATCTATAGCTCTGCAGCCAGTCTCCCATGTGGATTCCAAGAATCTGCAGAAGTTTTCGCTTTTCATATATAATCCTAATTACTTCTTACACCCAACTATAGCTATGATACAAGGAATTTAGCAGGATTATCTGAGTTGGAAAAGTATGTTCATTGTGTTAATTCCATGGCAGTCTCCATTTTTTCCTTCTCTCAGATATGTGCTCTGCTTTCTAAAAATCTGAAGAAAACTATTTTTAATAGCAATAAAAGTTTAGAATCAATTCTAGCTATGTTATTTCTGCTTGTATATAGTCTTCCAAGCTGATTAAGCAAATTGCAATTTTCCACATTTCTCTGGTATGAGGTGGAAGAATATTTCAACAGCAATTTCTTTTTTGAAGTTTGGCCTGCAGGCTGATAGTCCATGAACCTTCAAGTAATGGTCAGTGATAAGGAACAGAGCATTATACAAAATGTAACATCCAGAACCATTACATGCTTCCAAGTCACATTAGTTGACTCCTAAGTAGAACAAGTTTCTAATGGTTCTGTTTGGAATATGTCTGTGTAACATGGTTATGAAATTGAAGAAAAATTTAAAGTATATCCATAACTTAAAACTAATTTCTTATATACAGAAGTTACTGATAAGTTTAACTATATTTATCAGATTAGAAATGTTTCAAGTAAAAGGGGATATGGAAATTAACATGAATGCATAATTTAATGCCAACTAGTATTAATGTGAATGTGGGAAGGTATGAATTTGACAGAGATTTAAAAATAATACTTTGAAAGCATCTACCAAATGTGCACCAAATCAAAATTTCATTTGCCATACTTTGTTTTGTCCATCAATGTGTCTTGAGCTCCTAGAACAGTACCTTGCACATACTAAGTGTTCAAAAAGTTAAATAACAACAAAAAATAGTGCTGGTGGCTCACAAGCAGTAGAGGCTTTAGAGGGGAGCATATGCTGCTGAGAACTTACAAGTGAACAATATAGGATGTCAAATACAACCTTCCACTTTTTCTCTGTGCTAAAGGAGGCTGACCGAGAGAAGGATCATGGTTCAATTACATTGGTTGTCATTTTTGTTATTATTGGTGGGAATGACTTGGTGACATGTTATTCCTTATGAAAGGCTGCTCTCCTAGCAAAAGGGCTGCAAAAAAAAAAATCATGATGTGGGCTTTGGACAAGAAAGGGACCAGTCATGTGTCCTCTTTAATATGCTCCCCTTGTGTTTTGGGGCAACTGTATTCCCTGGAAATAGTTGCACAATAGTATGTACAAGGTGCTGTCAGCTCAGGGAAGACTCCAGACAGCTGGCTGATTGCCAGTGTTCTCTTGCACAACTTAGGGAATGTGAAGGAAGGTCTGTCTTTTCTCTGACGGTGAAAGATGTTTATCACTATGTAGTCATTTGGCAACCAAAGGAGAAAATTGGTATGGAGACTCCGGCTATGTTGGGTAGAACTCATGAATCAACATACTTAGAAAATTGGTAAATTACACTATTCACCACCACTCTGAACTCACTAATGTCTCCCAGTCTTTGAGGTTTTGTCAGAGTCTGCTACTTAGTGGCTAATGTCCTTAGGCTTAGTTTGAAAAAAGGAATCTCATAAACATAGGCTTCCATTTGAGGACAATTCTTCCCCCTTCTTTATCTCATTTCCGTTGTATTGTGACATTTTCTTTGGTATAGGTTCCTCCTTCCTAAATCTCTCTCCATCTTGAATTTTCACTATATCATGACCCTGGTGTTTTATTTGTCTTTCATTCATTGAATAAATATATATTCAGCTCCTCAGTGTATTTGATCCTCACAACAACTGAATGAGATAGTTATATTTCCATCTTCATCTGGAAAAAGAGCCAAAAACCCAGGCAGTCTAATTCCAAAAGCTGAGTTCATAGCATAGAGAATTGCTGCAAGTCCTTACAAAGAATATGTAAATTTAGTACCCTAAAAGTGGCACTAAAAAAGAGGACGCCTCTCCTCTTTTTCAGCATCAGCAAAGAGGTCTAGGTATAGGCCACTTTTCTGTTTCCCCATTTCTTTGATAGTGTTGTATATAAGAACAGGCAGAGGCAGTTTTGCTAGGTTCTAGCCTTGGGTCTTATGCAATTTGAGGTGTTCTCTTCAAGTTAAGTAGTAAAAAATTAGAGATACATTATTAGGCATGAAGATTAATATGTATTTAGAAAAAGAGGTCAAAATAAATTAAAATTTTTAAGTCTGGCAAATGCCACAAAGCTTATGAAATTAACATAAATAATTAATAACCTGCCTAAAACACTGCATCATTTTTATGTTAGAAAAATTTCTTTCACTTTCACATATAAAGAAACTTTTCTAAATTATTAATAAAGTGAGTTATGTTATATAAATTTTAGAGATTATTGTAAAATTTGGAAATACTCTGTCTAGTTTCTGTTCTATACAAGCTGTAGGATTTCAAGGGACTTCCAGTTTTCTTCAAATCAAGAGCATCATTCCCATTTCACTACTAATGTTCTCCTCACTGTAGTGGAGAATCATGAATGCTGTTATCTTCATGTATTCCAAGCCATTGTAGGGAAGAAAAAATATTTTTCCTTCTACCTATTTTATTTATTGACTGGAGCCCTGGTAACAAAAGAAAATTACAATGAATGAGAGAAAAACAAACAAGTTTATTGGCACATATACTCCATACATACATGGGAAATGCTTCCCTCCCCACCACTCCCCGCAAAAAAAAAAAAAAAAAAAATGAGGAAATTTCAAAGAAGTGGCTTAGAATTGGGACTTAAACACCACTACCTTCAGCTGAAATAAAATAAAGATGGGTGGCAGAGAGGCCAGTTATGGGGAGGTGACCAGAAAAAGTATGGTAGACAAGGGTAAGGTTTGCTTTGCAGAGTTAAGTCAGTGTCCTTGTCATTGAAAAGATTCCATTGTAATTTAGAGTCATCCTTTTCTTGTTGGTATAGGGAGGGAGATATCCTTACAAATGAAGATTTTCCTTATAAATTAAAGTTTTCTTTACAAAAGTGTAATTTCTAATCTTGTTTTCAGAGCTTCTCCTCTGTCTGCTGTTTTTCAAAATAATTCAAATTAATCTTTATGCCGAAGAGGCATAATTTGGGCTGGCATATTCTGGTCTCTTATACCAGTATTTCCTTTCAAGTACCTTTCCCAGGATGCTAAAAGAATTCACTCTTCTTTAATAATTAGATTATCAAATAACTTACCCAGTACAGTACTTTTAATTGAACTTTATCTCTTCCTTTTAATACATTTTGGTATTACCTGGAAATAAATGTTTCTATTTACTTTACAATGTCAGCATAATTTTTGTTAATGTCATCCTTCAACCCTACTACTTTTGTGTCACAATCTATTACCTTTTTTTCAGAATTTTCTATCAATTCCTAAAGAAAACTTAAAGATGATTAAATGTGGTACATATTATATACTTCCAAATCAGGAGTTGTAATTTCTCATTTGTTTTATTGAAACATTCCAAATGCCTTCAGAAGGACAGTTAAAATGGCATACTCAAGCTTCATCAACATTTTCTATAAACATTTTATATATTCAACTTTTTAAAAAAAGAATATGTTGGATCCTTAAAATAAAATTATATTCATTGTGCAAACCTCAGGCAACTTTGGAATAGGCAGATCCTCTTGTTACATTGAGATGTTTTAATGAAAATGTAAGTTGTATATGATTTTAAAATGTCCTATTGTTTAAAACACTGTATCTATGAAATGAATCTTGAAAGAAAACGTAAGTGTTGCAAAATACTAAAGTAGTCAACAATTTTGGCTACTGTCACAGCAGCTTTTTCTCTGACAGGACTAAGGAAATGAGCTGGTAAGGCACATCTTCTGCTTACTTATTAAAATGTAAAGAGTGCTTGCAATTCTTTATCTTTACCTTTCATAACAACTGCATTGTCATACAGTGCATTGCTAAAGGTTCAGCAGTAAATTACCATTTTCCAAAACTTCTTTCAATTTCTTGAATTTAAAGTCACAGATAATTAGGTGGTTTTTAATAGAAAAAAAATTCATCAGGTTTTTTAGTTAAAACAGGAGAGTACAATAGTTGCTATTTAATTAGTGTTTTGTATCCAGTTTAGAAGGTAGAACAAGGATTAGTATTTCGTGTCCTTTTTGTTTGTCTGTTTATCACTTCATTTTATAGACATTTTACCATTATTAGAATTAATTCTTAAACTCTTTTAGGTATGTCACACTTATTTCTTTTTAATTTTGACATTTTCCCAACTGTTGTTGTAAAAATGGAGCAAATTTAGAAATCTGAAGAAAGTCAATCTTCATTGTTACCTCTGAAGTGCGAGTCTTTCACTTAAAAATGTATTAATCCTCATTATGTTTTGTTAAACTCTTCAAAATAACACTGAATGTTATTTGTTTCTTATCTCCTATTGAAGACATTAAAGTAGATGCATTTGTAATTGATTTACTTGTAATCCAAGTATTAATATAGATTTCTTGTGTTCTGTGGAGTCTTCATGACATTCAATGGTTCTCATTGTATACATCTGGTCTGGAAACACATCTGTGGTAAGTAATGACTTTCTTGTTAAAACAGCTTAAATGAAACAACAGATACAACTGTTTAGTCTTGGAATAGCCAATCCAGAGTCTCATAATAGTTTGATCATTTTATTTTCAAAATGTCTGCTCAAGTATCATTTTTATGTTCTGTGTGATTTGCTGTAAAATTAAAGGAAACAGTTTCAAAAAAAAATTTTTATTAAACAGTGTTGAACAAAATTATTTCCCAGGGAAGACCATAATCAAAGATCACAGTACTTACTGAACTCAATAACTTTGTTGCCGACCTTTATAATTATAAAAATCAATTTTTCCTTCTTTTTGATTTCTGCTTGGGAGATAGTTTCCTGATTTTCATAATCTTCTAAATGAGATGTCATTTTGTCTTCTGTATTTTCACTATTATGGTTCTTTGTTCTATGTTCATGGTTCTGATATGAGAATAGTTTACTGGTGTTGTAATATAAGAGAATTTTTGGAATGTTAGTATTTCTATCATTTTTCTTCATTTCAGTTTATGCTTTTGGCTTCCATTAAGATGTTCCCTGCCATTACACTAGAATTGCATTTTTCATACTACTTCTTTTCATTGAGCTTAAAACTGTCATGAAAAAAACATAAATATTCTGTTATTAATAAATATTTGTGAGAGTTCTGTCACTGAAATAATTGTACATATCTGAAAGGTAGAAGGAGTTTTCAAAGATAGCTTCCTGCACCACTTTTCAAATCTTGCTTCTGTATCAGTATTTCCAGAGCTGAATACTATGGAACACTTTCATATTGTGTTACAACTTCTTACCCTATACCAATACGGAGTATGTTGGCACTGTGGGAGGTGGAAGTATTCCTGGAAGGCAAGGGCAGCTTACAATAACTTGATTATACATGGTATGACTGCAAGGCACTCAATCCAAATTAAATACATGCTCCTTTCAAATTCTTCTTGCTTGCATCCTAAAAATCCCTTTAGCTAATCTAATAGCCACACAACAAATTAGAAGTATGATGGAAGAAAAGTTAGAATGAAAAGAGGAAGAAATTATGGTAAACATATGTCTCATTTACACAAGTTCACACAAATATATGACCATGTAAGATTTTCCTAGGTGCTTCCCCAAAGCTTTGGAAGGTGTCCATGTGCTTAAATATACCTCTGCATATAAAGTTATATAGTGCTGCTGAACTCAGAAAATGGTACAACCTGTATTAGTCTGTTCTCACACTGCTGTAAAGAACTACATGAGACTGGATAACTTTTGAAGAAAAAAGGTTTAATTGACTCACGGTTCTGCAGGCTGTATAGGAAGCATGGCTGGAAGGCCTTAAGAAACTTACAATCATGGTAGAAGGTGAAGGGGAAGCAGGCATGTCTTACCATGGCAAAGCAGAAGAGAGAGTGAAGGGGGATATGCCATGGACTTTTAAACCATTAGATCCTGTGAGAACTTAATATCATGAGAACATCAAGGGGGAAATCTGCCCCCATGATTCAATCACCTCCCCCAACATTAGGAATTACAATTCAACATGAGATTTGGGTGGAAACACAGAGCTGAACCATATTACCCCCACAATATGAAATTTTGACATGCTGAACCAAAGAAGCAGCCTAAGTTCTCTCTGACTCCCCCATACCACTCTTGTCTCTCAATTCTCTGTCTCTCTGAAACCACAGGATGAGGCTGATCTCTGAAGTTCCCTTATCTGCTTATAAACTAGATCCCCAAAAGGACTTCCTTCAATCACTTCCCTGAAATTTCATTAACCAGAGAGGATTAAAACCCATATCACAGAGGAAGAGACTGAATATTGAAACACCATACCTAGAGTCCTGGTGAACTTTTTCCCAAACTATTGTTTTCTCTTCAGTCCCATTCAATACCCAAAGAGAATTATATAAGATAATGTCTACCTCTGAGACCCGTTCACTCTCCCTTAAAATTATTTATTACCCTTCAAAATTCCCACATTACTCCTTATGAAAAAGGGAATGGGTAAACATCTGAATCCTACTGGGTTATTGGATAATCATTCCATGATGAAATTCTTCATACTTATACAATTAAATAAATTTGTATGCCTTTTCTCCTATTATCAGTTCATTTGCTAAGAACCTTTAGAGAGTGACAGGGAAGAATTCCTTTGACCACTACATTGTGTTTTATGTTGTTTACTTAAAGGTTGAAGCACAGTAGAATCATTTTCCCTCTGCCTAGTACCTGCTTCCAATATAACAGCTGATTTTGCTGATTGTAACAGCAAAATAGAACTAGACTCTCTGTACTTCTTTTATCCCTACTGACACCACACTAGTATGACCTACTACAATTTTTTGCTTAGATTATTGTAGTAGTTTTCTATCCACTCTCTACCTTCTTCATACAATTCCCAGGGTTATATCCTTTTCCTGTAAAATTCTTCAATATTTTTTGTTGTTCTTAGAAAAAGTAAATAAATCTATATTTTCATAAAAATTTCTCTCATCGATCTTTTCTTAATTTTCACTCCCTCAACTAGTCAGCTGGTTTTTTCTATTATAGTATTTCATTTTCTTCATAGCAGTTATCATGCTTGGAATTGTTACTGTCACTTTAATTACTTGATGATAATTTGTCTTCACTAATGTAAAGGCTCAATGAAGATAAAGACTATTCATTTCTATTCACCATAGTATCCCTAGTATCATTAACAGTGCATAACACATAGTAGGTATACAAAAAATATTCATTTAAACACTATGGCTAGATTACAAAGTAGATGGAGAACTTAAAGCTATACACCCAGTAGAACCCTTCACAAAGTCCAAATCCTTATGGGGATTCTTTGTATATGGATTCCAAGTTCCTATTCTTGTACCCTATCCTCAGATTTATGCCTGTCTTCTAAATTATATCTCTGTTCTTTTTAAGGTAACCTGTGACGTCTCCAGCCATATTTATTGTCTTTCATAGAGTTCATAAAATAGGAACCAAGGAAAAGGCTTTGGCCTACAAGTCCCATAAGATACCATAGGGAATGTAAAAGCTCTCCAAGAAACAGAATTTTGTTTGCAAGTTTACCACTAAAGCAAAGAGGAATGCTTGTTGGAACCAAACTGCACCTATCCCAAGGAAACACACATGGTTTGGCTCTGTGTCACCACCTAAGTTTCACCTTGAATTGTAATAATCCCCATGTGTCAAGGGTGGAACCAAGTGAAGATAATTAAATAATGACAGCAATGTCTTCCATACTGTTCTCATTATAGTGAGTGAGTTTTCATGAGATCTGATGTTTTTATAAGGGGTTTCCCCTTCACTTGGCACTGATTCACTCTTTTGCCACCCTGTGAAGAGGTGCCTTCTGTTATGACTGTAAGTTTCCTGCAGCCTCCCCAGTCATGTGAATTGTGTAAATCAAGTAAATCTCTTTTCTTTATACATTACCCAGTCTTGGGTATTTCTTCACAGCAGTGTGAAAATGAACTAATACAGTTTCAGTGATAGTACAGTCTGAACCCTTTAAAGAAACCTGCCTGTTCTCCCTTGAATTATGCAAATTATATCATTATGTAGAACAGAGCATATTTCTCTTAATAGCTTCTCCTGTAGTTAAAAAAAAAAGAAAAGAAAGATGCTTTGTAATCACAGTTTTAATAGGGAACTTATGAAATTTTCAGCCATGGAGCCCTTGCTCCCTGGGGGAAGAGGAGGCTATCAATCTTACTTAATCTTCACAACAACTATTCAAAGTAGATATAATTTTTACCCTTATCATTCAACTGAAAAAACTAAGGAATAGAGAATAAAGATAAACTTCACATGGTCAACAGTTTTAAGTGGCAGAGCAAGGAATCAAATTCAGATCAAACTTTAAACCTCATTTTCTTACCCAGTGATGTGTGGGCGACAACTTGTGTCAGCTTACAAGAGCCAATTATTAAATTTTCAGAGTATTTTTTCAGCTAATTGTTAAACACAGCTGTATTAGACTGTTTTCGGCTGCTTTTAACAGAATAACTGAAACTGGGTAATTTTTTTTTAATTGTTTTCTCTTAATAGTTAAGGAGCTGCGAAGTCCAGGAGGAAGGGGTCACATCTGGTGAGAGGCTTCTTGCGGTAGAGACTCTGTAGAGTCCAGAGACAGTGCAAAATATCACAGGGTGAGGGTGCTAGTGTGGTAATGTACTATACTAGCTCAGGTCTCCCTTCCTCTTCTTAAAAAGCTACCAGTTCCACTCTCATGATAATTCATTAATGGATTAACGGGTTAATGGATTAATGGCCCTACCTCTCAATACTACCACACCGTTGATTTTACCACACAGTTTTTTGAGGGGACATTCAAACCACAGTGAAAAACATTGGCAAAAGTTAAATTATACAGGCATACAATAAATATTCAAAACACATTACTGCCTAAGTATCTAACTTTATTGTACTGCTAATGCTTTTGAGTTTATTTGTGCCTATTTTACCTGTATGGTTGAAACAGTTTATAATGGTGGGCATACCTTTTCCAGACTCCGTGTTTCGTGACATCATATCTGTAACCTGAAAGTGACTGTGATGAAAGTACTTATACCATGGAAATGAGCAAACATTCTACTAAGTACCTTACACCTCCACCTCCCAGGCTAGTTGTTAAACATTCACCATTATACTACTTCTTTTAACCATTATACTGTCGGACCCTTTAAAAGTGATCTTTTCTCTCTATAGAATGTTACTATTTATGTGTCACAGAACTGGTTTCATCATTGCCAGGTAATCCTGCACCTTTGTTCTAAAGGCTTCACATATTCTTAAATATGGGCCGGGCGCGGTGGCTCAAGCCAGTAATCCCAGCACTTTGGGAGGCCGAGGCGGGTGGATCACGAGGTCAACAGATCGAGACCATTCTCGTCAACATGGTGAAACCCCGTCTCTACTCAAAATACAAAAAGTTAGCTGGGCATGGTGGCGCACGCCTGTAATCCCAGCTACTCGGGAGGCTGAGGCAGGAGAATTGCCTGAACCCAGGAGGCGGAGGTTGCGGTGAGCCGAGATCGCGCCATTGCACTCCAGCCTGGGTAACAAGAGCGAAACTCCGTCTCAAAAAAAAAAAAAAAAAAAAAAAAAAAAAAAAAAAAAAAATTTCACATATTGTGAACTCAAATAGGTAAGTTAACTAAATATTGTAAGTTAACCTTTTCCTATGGTAATAGGAAAAGAAAAAAATTCTTTCTCTTCATGTTTTCAGATGCCTAATGAAACCAGATGTATTACTTAACTATCAATGAACTGATAGATTTTTGTTCTTCTTAAATGGCTTTTTTGAACAAGGCAGATATTTAATATTTAGAAAAATGACATGAAAAATATTAAAGTGAGAATTTCTTGTTTACACTATAGATATCCAAAGAGACTGCTATGGTTTCAATGTTTGTCCCCTCCAAAACATATCAAAATTTAATTGCTAAGGTAATGATATTTAAGAGGTGATTAGATCCTGAGAGTTTTTCAATTATGAGTGGGTTAAATACCTTTCACAAAGGGCTTTGGACTGAGTGCAGTGTTTTGTGTCTATAATTCCAATGACTAGGGAGGCTGAGGCAGAAGGATCATTTGAGGCTAGGAATTCAAAACCAGACTGAGCAACATAGTCTGTCCCTAAAAATAAAAATTTTTCAATTAAAAAAAATTAGGTAGGCATGATAGTGTATGCCTATAGTCCTAGCTACTTCAAAGGCTGAGGCAGGAAGACCCCTGGAACTCAGGAATGTGAGGCTGTAGCAGGCTATGATCAAACCACTGCACTCCGGCCTCGGTGACAGAGTGAGACCAATCTCAAATAAATAAAAAGAGTTTTTGGAGTAGATTGTCTCTCTGTGCTTTTCTGCCATGTAAGGAACACTGTTCTTCTCCAGAGGATGCAGTGTTCAATACGGCATCTTGTAAGTGAAAAACCAGGCCTTTACAACATACCAAACCTACTGGCACCTTGATCTTGGTCTCCCCAGCCTCCAGAACTGTAATAAATACATTTCTGTTCTTTATAAATTATTAAGTCTCAGATATTCTGTTACAGCAGCACAAAATGCACTGAGAGAGAGAGACAAATTGAAGGATTTTAAATTAGCTCTCTGCCCTCAAAAAATTCAGGTATTAAATAAGAAATAACTAGCAGAATTTGGGCCAAATAGCATCTGATTTTTCCCCCACTGATTGTTTATTTCATTTGTAATATTGTCACAAAGGTCAGAAGAGCCAAAACCTTTATCCTCAATTCCCACTTGAGCTAAATACAATTATTTTTCATAGTTAAGTCATGTGTTGATACATGCCCAGGGAAATCAAAATGAGTTATTCTTCCCTATTAATGCCACAATACTGTTGCTCACAGATATTTGTAAAATTATAAATTTTTAGAACTTGACATAAATGAGGTACTGCAGCAGCTAAGTATTTAGTAATGTATGCTAACTTTTCCGCTAAATCAAAACTTTCCAGAAAACCGTAGGTAAATATGAAAAGCAAAAGATAACATAAAATTAGAAAATTGCTTCATTAAGAATGAATCCTTGACACAGTTCCTTACTCTCTAACATAGAGTAGCAACAAAGCATAGAATAACAACTTTGAAACTAAAAGTTTAGCCAAGGCAGTTTTTTAAATTGCCCTTATCGAACGGCAGATCCAATTCTGAACATTTCATAGAATCATAAAATTAGGAATACTCTCAAGAGAAATCATTTAGTTTACCTCATTAGGCAGAAATACACGTATACCAGCATTTCCTAAAGTTACAAAAGATGTTAGTAGGTATTACACGAAAAAAATAGATTAGTCAAATATGCTTGAGGAATGCTAGATTTTAAAAAATGTTTATTAACTACTAGCTTGCTCAGAATCTTTAATATGCAAACATGTACTATGAACATTGGGGATATTTCTCTATGATATTTGACCTTGCAATTCGTAAGTCATGGAGCACCTGTAGGGATCAATATTCCACCAAACAGTCTGGACAATGCTAATTTATGCAATATTAAACCAAGAGACTCTGTCAGTTTTTAACAGTTTCCAAAAAATCTATAATTATCTTTTAGTGAAGCTGCTTCTGTCCCCATTTTGTTGTTTTATTTCATTTTGTTTAATATTTTCAGCTCTATAGCATATTTGGGACCATTATTGAGTGGGCTGGGTTAGTGTTAATAAAGAGATGATATGAAGACAGTGCCAGTCTGTGGCCTGCTTGTTTCCAAACAATATAAGTACAGAGGTTCTGCAACATTTTTCAGAGTAATTTTATTTCTATGAATTGAATATTTAAATATTGGAAAAATCACTTGAGGCTTGCATTTTGCATGCCTCTTTATTTTTATTTTTTTTATGTTGCATGCCTCTTTATTTTTATTTTATTTTCTTTATTTTTATTTTTTTGAGTTATTAACTTTTATTCTATTTTACAAAAGTATCATTTCTCAGCAAATCTGAAATTTAACAACTGCTCTCTTACCACAGATTGAGAAGGACTGTTCTAAGATCAAATTTCACGAGGAAGAATTTATGTTGTAGTTTTTTTCTAAATTAAATATATGAACTAGTACAAATTTTGACAGCAATCCTAGTGAGAGGCAACTGTAGGAGAGTCTGAGAGTGAGAGAGGAATGAGGTCAGGTTGCTGAAGACACAGCTCTTGTCAGTCAGCCCTATTTATACAGGTACCCTCTCTAGGTTCTGGGAAGCAATCTCTGTCCCTTGACCTTTGAGGTTCCAGGATGGTAAAGCTGTGCTGCTGCTAGCCATGGGGTGCAATACTACCCTTGTTTTTCCTATACCCGTCCAAGCCTTCATACATACAATTAAAATTCTTCCAAAATTTGCTAGTTGTGTTACCACTATTACCTGGAAGCCTCTGATTAATCATTGCTCCTCCATCATTTCCTCTTTTGTTTTACAAAATCACATCTTTTCCTTCTGAAGCTTAAAAATACCTCAGGCCATGAATCTGAGGATATCCAATATGGATGGATCATTTAACAGCTAAATGAAATCTCAAGGCTTCAAACATTTTGGAAGATTTACAAGCACTTGTTGACTGCTGTCAATGGATGATCTTTGCAGATGGAAACAAACAGGACTCCTAACAGCTACAATGACAAGCTAAAGAGTTTAACAGACCGCTGTAAAACCAAAGGCAAATAAAATCAAATTAATAAGAAATCATATTGGAAGAATCTGGAACTCAGGATATGTGCAGGAGAAAATTACAACAGAGACAGGAACTCTTCTTGTGACAGACCAAAACCTCTGATAGAATTGATAGGCACAGAGACCAATAGTTAGAGAATAAAGAGCAGCAATCTGGCTTTTCCAGGAATATGCCTTCAGTAGGCCTGAAGCCCAAATCTGCCAATAGGGTGACAGGCCTAGAATTTACGTGTAATCTCCTCAATCTCTTGATTGTACTGATAAATACTTTGAGAGTGTTACCAAGTACAGTAATGTCAAATGTTAAGCAGTCAGTCACATAGCACAAATCTCTAGACAGAGAAGTCATAAGGGACCCACAAGGTATGAATCCTCTATGAGACTATCAAGGATACTACCCTGAACTGTCGTCACTCTTATCAAGTAGTGTTACTGAAGTCAGGCAACTTCATGAGAATTTGAGAGCAAGAGGGTCTTAATCATCTAACTGGTAGCATTGTTCTGTTTGCTACACGATGTAGCCAGCTTGTGCACAGTCATGGTTCCCTTACATGCTTAAACAAAATTGTATACTAGAAATATTTACTCTGCTTCAAATTATGCTGTATTATAGATTGTGAAGATTTACCAGAGTCCAATACCTAGTATTGCCTAAATTGCCAAGAGGACAAATTAAATGTAAACAGTTCCCAACTTAAAAGAAAAAAGAAAGAAACTTGTATATACTTTGCTTTATGTATGAGCAATGTCCTGCCAATCTTATCATTATTCTGTTTTGCCTACCTTGCAGATTAGTATCAGGAGTGGGAGAGACTCAAACAAATGTCAGGTCACATTCAGACGAAGTATAATGTAGTAGTTGTGAGTACAAGCCCTAGTTCCCAACTGTCTTAGTGTAAATCTTCTCTCTGGAATTTAGAAAGTATGTAATATTAACCTCTCACATCTCAGTTTTATCATCTCCAAAATGAGGAGAATACTTCAGTTCTTAATACACTAAATAATCTTATAAGATTTCAGTGAGCTAACATATACAAAATCCTATGTACTTAGAGAAAATGTCATAGAGAAAATGTTTTAAATTATCATTTAAGATAGTTATTTTAAGACAGGGGTCAGCAAACCTTTTCTGTAAAGGGCCAGATATTAAATATTTTTCACTTTACAGGCCAAATACAGTCCCTGTTATGTGTGTTTACAACTTTTTTTTTTTTTTTTTTGAGACGGAGTTTCGCTCTTGTTACCCAGGCTGGAGTGCAATGGCACAATCTCGGCTCACCACAACCTCCGCCCCCAGGGTTCAGGCAATTCTCCTGCCTCAGCCTCCTGAGTAGCTGGGATTACAGGCACGCGCCATGGTGCCCAGCTAATTTTTTGTAATTTTTAGTAGAGACGGGGTTTCGCCATGTTGACCAGGATGGTCTCGATCTGTTGACCTCGTGATCCACCCGCCTCGGCCTCCCAAAGTGCTGGGATTACAGGCTTGAGCCACCGCGCCCAGCCACAACTCTTCAAAATATATTTTAAGAAACTGCTTAGATCACAGGCCATACAAAAACAGGCTGCAGGTCGAATGTGGCCCATTGGTTATAGTTTGCCCAATCTCTGCCATAAACATTCTTTCACTTTCTATTGAAGGGATAAACATCCCATTCCTTTCTTATTAAGAAATGGCAGCCTCACACTGAGATCTAAATCACCTGTAAATATGAATAAAAAGATAAAGGAAACTTATTTCTCCAAGATTCGTGGATGTAGAGAAAGTCTTTTCCTAATCTCAGTTGGGCCCAATCCAAGAGTCATCTCCTCTAAACAAAATTATGCCTGGGAGAATAAATTATTTATCCTCTTTGGATGAATTATGTTGACAACATTAAGATTCCATATCATTAGGAACCATGTATCAT